ACGTACCTGATAACGACCGTATTACGAGCGAAACAAGTACCAGCGCAGTGCGACAATGTGAACGCTTCAATAAAGTTACACAGCTTCACATAACAATTTGTAATGTTCCAACCGTATTTGCCGATTTATGTAGCACAAACAGAAATCGTTTAAACAAAAACAATTACCGTTTACCAGTCAGTGTTTTCTGTTCCCAGAAAAGTTTCAAGGTTACCTAGCAGAAGCAATATTCGACAGTAAGTTCATTACTTAACGGTTAAAACCGAGAACAATATATTCAAATTTATATCCTAATCTTGTTCTTATGTTTATCGTATAGGCATCACTGTTCCAGATTTATGTTTGTAGCAGCGCAACAAGAAAATGGAGTCTACATTTAACTGTAACTTAAACTATTTATCTTTCCTTCTTGAAAAGCTGATAGTCGATCAGCTGGACAACATATCTCATCAAGAACCTACCACTATCCCCTAGTTTGAGCCAGATTGAGTCGGTCCACATATCCACACCTTATTTACATACAATAGGTTTTACTGTTCTTCCATTTACGCCTAGGTCCACCAAATTGTCTCTTACCTCCAGGTTTTCCAATTAACTTGTTATATAAAGGTAAAAAGGTAAAGTTGTCCTTCTGCTTAACTAATTAAACACTAAGCCATGAAGGCGTATGGAGGAATGGATGTATAGATCCACATTTTCTTGGCCTCGGTACTAGTTGGAGGTGAGTGGTCAGCTTCACGCCCCAGCCGCTTTAGCTCGGGGGAAAGAGTCCCCTGTATCCATTGGATAGGAGGCTGGGTGGGTTCCAGAGCCGGTCTGGACGACGTGAAGAAGAGAAAATTCTTAATCGTACCGAGACTCGAACTCCGACCCCTCGGTGGTCCAGCCCGTATCCAACCGTTATACCGACTACCCTACTGACGTGTGTGAGGATGACTATGCTTAATACTTAAAAGGAAGTGACATGTATCTACAACGTAAATTTTTAAAAGATCCCGAAAATGTATGAAATGCCTTGAACTTAAGAATGCAAAACGACGATATTTAAAAAAAAAATGTTCTGACTAAATGTTCCGTCCTTCAATTCTGGAGCGCCATTTCTTTCCCCCATCACTGTACTTTGTGCATGAGAAAAGAAGAAAAGAAACGCCAAATGCGCCGTGGGTTCCGGGCCACTTACTGATTAAAACATTTCTTCACAAAAAATTTGTAAAGCATGAAAGTTTAATTTGTAAGTTAATCCCCAGAACTACAGACGCCAGGAAAGAACCGCAAATATTTTTAATTACGAGAGGCCTTGAAGAGCCGAACGTCACAAGAGCGGTTCTATCCAGAGCGGACAATAAATTCTTCAGTTTGCTTCAAAAAAGCAACGCGATTTAGAAAGTAGATGCCAATTTTCCCTTCCTTTGATCTCGCTGTAGGCTGTGCATGAGCTAAAAAATATACACATAATAATACAAATAATATATACAATACAATGATATTTTGTTTTTTTTAAATTGTGTTGGTATACGTAATTTCCGGTTAAACTATACATTATTATTATTATTATTATTATNGTACAATGTTACACGTAATTACTTTCATCTACACTGTGCTAAGTCTGTAATTGGCCTTGCGGCTGTTGACTTGGCACACAAATAATAAAGAATTGAATTATTATTATTATTATTGTGATTATCTGCTCTTCACGTAAAAATTGTCCCTCTGCTAGACGTGCAACATCTGCTAATGTTGTTTGCAGGGACGCTGACGTATTCAGAGCCAGGAACGTTCTCCTTAATCACATTCTACATGTATAATATTGTATAATTGTTACTATTATTATTTGCACGAACATAAACAACAAGAACACTGAATTATTATTATATTATTATTATTATTATTACTGAATATGTATACTTGTCTTTTCTCAATTGTCAACAGCAACTTGGATTTGTGATGATATCATTATTATTGTTATTATTTTGTTTGTTTACCTCCAATATTTACCTTTAATTATTATTTGACTTTATGTTGTGTTTGTCCAGTATGTAACTACGTCTACCTACACTGTGCTGAGTCTGTAACTGGCCTTGCGGCTCTTGGCTCAGTACATAAATAGTAAAGAATTGGAATTGAATTACATTTTAAAGCGCTCCAGGCGACAAAATCTTGATACTCTTTTATTTTTTATTAGCGTTTTGAAGACAAATTTCACTGTTCTTCTATTATGGATACTGTTGGTCTCCGTGTACTCACTAGGCAATTACACACTTTTCCACCTTTAACGTCAGTAATGTCTCAAGAATCAGCCCTTCAACAAGGTCCGTCATAGCTGCAAACAACATCTGCAAATCTCCGGTCATTTTCGATAAACATAACATCTCACTTGAGGATTATCTTTTCCTCTGCTTGATCCTACTGAGTTACGTCATTATCGTGTTACCTGTATTATGAGTATTTAATTTTAGCCTACTTCTAGTTCCAGCTCTAGTTCTAGTTCTATCACTAGTTCGAGTTCCAGCTCTAGTTCTATCTCTAGTTCGAGTTCTAGCTCTAGTTCTAGTTCTATCTCTAGTTCGAGTTCTAGCTCTGCTTCTAGTTCCAGCTCTAGTTCTAGTTCTAGCTCTAGTTCCTGTTCCAGCTCTAGTTCTAGTTCTATTTAGCCTTCGCCTAGCTTTTCCTCAAGTAAAAGTCTTACTTCTGTTAGCTGCGCTTCAGCTGCTAGTGTTACTTGTAGGGACGTTAACTTATTTTGAAGCAAAACTGTTTCTCTTCACCATATTTTATGGCCGCGCCATAGCTCAAGCGGTTAGATGCTGGCTTCCCACCGCGGCGGCCCGGGTTCGATCCCGGGTCTGGTCAAGTGGGATTTGTGGTGGACAAAGTGGCGCTGGGGCAGGTTCTCTCCGAGTACTTCGGCTTTCCCTGCCAATTTTCATTCCACCAATGGCTCCACAATCACCCTCACCTATCATCTGGGGCTGGTATAATAGGCCAGAAGTTGCCGCAGTACACGGGACTTAGTCCCACCCCACTAGTAATAAAATGAAACTATATTTTATACTGGCATTTTCTTAGTTACTAAAATATTAATTGCATTCGTGATAATTGTATTTATATATACGTATATTATTTCTTACAGCATAATGGTTGGGATGACTGCACTTAGTGAATCTTGATTACTGTTTAAATGATACAAGTTGCCTTGTTTTGTCTTTTATTGCGTGTATGTGTTCGTTTGGTATCCTTGTTCTGCTCGTGCTGGCTTCATGATTAGCCTTATGGCTGTTCAGGAAGCAAGTAAATAAATAAAAAGTATTGAACTGAACTGAACTATTTATTAAGTCTACAACGAAGCTACAAGCAGACTCTCTGGTTAATTCCATCTGTGTTGAGATCTAATTTATAAATCTATGTGTATGTACGCCGATCACAGTAGCCGCGCGGTCTAAGGCATGAACAGTCTTCACCCGTTTAACACTTGGATCGTGGGTTCGAATCCCACTTGAGGCATGGATGTCTGTATGCGTTTATTCTGTGTTTGTGCTGTTCTGTGTAGAGGTAGTGGCCTTGTGACAGGGTGATCCCCCATCCATGGAGTCATACCGACTGTGCAAAAGATCAAGAAACTGAAAAAGAGGCCAAGACGTAAAAAAGGGCTATAAAACCATAGATAGATAGATAGATAGATAGATAGATAGATAGATAGACGTCTATGTACAGCAATTCAATCGGGGCATATGCAGGAAGAAACACTCTGGGAAAACTTGGCGTAAATGAGCCAATAATTTGAAATTGCATTGACTGTACATCTCACTGACTATTTCTTTCCGAAAATCTGTATTGATGATACTCTTCAGGTTAAAACTGAAACATAGGATTTCACGATCTGACAGCGGTGGTTATTACAGGGGCCCATACACGTACTAATCTGGCTCGCGAGTCCGGCTCGGCGAGCTTGACTCGGGAGCCGGGCTAGGATTAATTTCACCACAAACGCATGAGCTGACTCCCAACTTTGCGACCCACACACGGACGAGTTTGGCTCATTGGAATCCGAGTCGAGTCGGACTCGCGAGCCAGACTCGTACGTGTATGGGCCCCTTAAGAGTTCTGTCTGCTAGGATATAAAGCCGTGTACGTAGCAGGTAGCAAGTAGAGCTCTGCTTCGTGCTGCTTGGCTTATCCTTCGACACCGAAGGAGACATGTTCCTCCGAAACGTCGGTTGCATTTTTACGGACTACACGGCGATGTGTCCAAGAAGACAGAGCTCTTCATAAACTGAAACATTCGAGAACAAGACACGCAGCACAGCACACAACAGGAGAGAACACAACTCACAAACTCAAACACGCAAGCGCATCGAGAGGAGTTGCATACATTCGAGAACAAGACACGCAGCACAGCACACAACAGGAGAGAACACAACTCACAAACTCAAACACGCAAGCGCATCGAGAGGAGTTGCATACATTCGAGAACAAGACACGCAGCACAGCACATAACAGGAGAGAACACAACTCACAAACTCAAACACGCATGCGCATCAAGAGGACTTGCATACATTCGACAACAAGACACGCAGCACAGCACACAACAGGAGAGAACACAACTCACAAACTCAAACACGCATGCGCATCAAGAGGACTTGCATACATTCGACAACAAGACACGCAGCACAGCACACAACAGGAGAGAACACAACTCACAAACTCAAACACGCATGCGCATCNNNNTCTTTCTTTTTCTCTCTCTCTCTCTCTCTCTATATATATATATATATATAATATGTGTGGTGTTTGTGTTTGTGGGTGCGGGTGGGGGCTCGCGCGCTTCAAACATAATTTGTACGTACGTACGTATATACGGCCTAATCTGACACTACAGAAACCTTCGCGGTTCAGTCGTCAATTAGTTAGGGTAGGCATGTACCGTTATCAGATGGAAGGTTACTATAGATTTGCAGCTGCCGCCATGTTGCAATTTGATAATATATAAGAAGGGGTCTTACCGAATTTGCAGAGATTCGCTTGTTCTGCACCATCTCTGCGGTTAACCAAGCCTCCTGTCTGCTGGGCGCTGGAGACGTTTCGCTCGTTGCATCCCCGGAGAATAAAGCAGCCGTTGCATGAAATTGACCGACTACGTTCATTTAGTGCGGAGGTAAAGAATACGTCCAGCCATATCTCCGTGCACCCATACGCCTTCTTGACGTGGTCCTTAAATAAAAACAGGAAAAGTATGATGTTTTATCATATATTTCAGAACCTTGAACAGAAAAATATTTCAAGAATTCTGAACAAAACAAAAGTAAGTATTGTACAGTAGCGTCATGGTGTGTTGTATGTTCAATTGTATTTACTGCAGTCAGGACAACTGTTGTATAAACATACTACACGTTGGAGCTGGGATACCTCAGTCTGTATAGCGATGGCTACGGGCTCAACGGCCAGGGATTGGTTCCCGGCGCTCGAGATGCTTTTCTCTACTCCACTGCTTCCAGACCACCTATAGGGCCCACCCAGCTTCATATCGAATGGGTACCGGGGAGTTCTTTCCACGGGGATAAAGCGGCCAGGACGTGAAGCTGAGCACTCGCATTTATTTAGTGCCGAGGTCAAGAGCAAAAGTTAAAAGGTAATGTTGTCCCTGTGCCTAACGAATTAAGCACGACGTCATGAAGTCGTATGGGGGAGTGGATGTATAGATCCACGTTTTCTTGACCTCGGCGCTAATTGGAGGTGAGTGGTCAGCTTCACATCCCAGCCGCTTTACCCCCGGGGTAAGGGCCTCCGGTTTCCTTTGGATAGGAGGCTGAGTGAACCCCAGAAGCCTTCTGGAAGATATGGAGAATTAAAAATTCTTGCCCCCACTGGGATTCGAACACCGACTCCTTAGTTATCCAGCCCGTAGCCAGTCGCTACGTTATCCCGGCTGTATATACAGTGGTATATACCACATATGTAAATGACTGTTAGTTAATTGCCTAGTTTTATGAAGCAAAATTCTTGTAACACCTGCACACATAGTTACCTAAGATGTTCTATATGTTATTCACGGTGTTCTACTTATCAGACCAATGGCATATGTGGTCCCTGAACAAAGTTTTGCATTTACTAACATATATCAAACACCGTAAATTCATCGAATGTGGTGACCCTGGAAGTCTTAAATTAGTTTGGCCGAACACTTTCCTATCCCTTGGGGCTTGCAACACAAGATAACGTAAGTATTCCTTACTCTACACGATGCAAGGTTGCAAAATGTTCATTCCATATAATTACCGGCTACTATATAATACTGGGAGACAGAATTTGACACATTGGTAGCTAGCCTTAACATTGACAGAAGGTTCATAAAAGACGGTAATTAAGTCAGCTAGGTACAGGGTCTTGTTTTATCTTTTAGATGTAATTATGGAAGGCCAGAAGAACACAAACCATAAACTATCGTACATTACATGAAGCAATACGGCGCAGAGAATTATAAACAGCAGACAACTGTAGGGATAAAAAGCAAACTCAAAGAATCTAAGGAATGGAACACATGTTTCTAAAACGAAGAGAAGCGAGCAAATGTAATGCATGGGCGAGACATGTCACCATAAATAGCAACACGTGACATGTGTTTTCCATGAGGTCCGTGTCGCGGCTATATATCCAAAGTTTGTAGCTAGAGGATATTAGAGAATTAGCATTGGAGAAGTTAGTCGATTTCTGTAGGGTCGGCGTTCCAAGGTGATTTAACGAGAAATGACAAGAAGACTTCATAGCGATTTGAAGTAATAGTTCCTGTTATAAAACCGTTGCCAGGAAACGGATAGTGTGTAACAGTGATTTTTGGAGTGAGTAAATTAGCGGTAGCGCTATAATTGATTGCGAATAAAAGAGATTGTAAAAGAAGATGTCAATAAATGCGATAATCCAATCCAGAACCAGTTATTATTCGCCACGGAACGCCGTATACACGATTCTTCCCCCTCCCCCACCGCTGTCTGTCAGCGAAAAGTGCAGTTCAGCACATTTTTGCAGGTCTCTATCAGATTGTACGGTGACAGCAGGAATCTAGATTATTTTACACACTTCTCTACACATACAGTAAGCTATAGAATGTTCCTGTACAGCCAAGAAAGGAATGCGCGGGGAGGAATTTCACAGTCAGCTAGAAAATTGCTTCTCAAAGAGAAAACTTATGCACTAAGTTCGTTAATTGTGAAAATGGGATAATTTCAAATGCCATGCTGAGCATTATTAAGTTTACTAAAGATATATTTAAAATATAAAGGAAACACAGATGCGTACGTATATTAAAGCCTATGATTTCGTATAAAACAAATAAATGTTAAACAAAAACAGAAAATAGAAACAAATATTGTCACGCCTTGGGGTGACATATAAAACGGGGTTTGGATTGGATTTATTGCACCTTATACATTCACACAACTCTGGACTACAGGTAATACAGTGCTATCGCTATTCTACACACGTCGCAGTTCACCGTTCCCAGTCTTCACTAGTCGTATCCTGGCAACGGATTTATAACCGTATCACTGTAACTTCAAATAATATATGAAGTCTTCTTTGCACCGCCTAATTCCCTTCTTGCCATTTCTTCTCAAACATCTTCGACTGTCATCTCCACAACTCGACCAAATTTTAATTCTAGTCAAAGTCAAAGTCGCATTGCGACTGACGGTCAGTCAGTAGGTCTTGGTGTCGAGATATTAATTGTTACCGTTTGACAGTTACGGTCTTGTTTCTGTGGGGCGCCCTCTCTGACGAGAGGACGGGTCTGTCTTTTGTATGTGCTGCTGGCCCTTGCCAGAGCAGTCTTTCTCTGGTCTGAGTCCCTTGGGACTCGCGTCAGTATTTTACTGTCTCAGATTTGGGACTTCCCTTTTCGTCCCCTCCTACGACTCGCAGGGTCATGGGTGGAGGTATTCGACCTCGCCTCCACACGGGATTCTCTAATTCTGGTCAAAGTCATATTGCAACTGACGATCAGCCAGTCAGTAATTCTTGGTATCGAGCACCCTCCTGGGCCTCATGACCGGATATTTATTACTCCTCGACAGTTACGGACTTGTTTCTGTGGGGCGCCCCCTCTGACGAGAGGATGGGTCTGTCTCTTGTATATGCTGCTGGCCCTTGCCAACGCAGCGTTTCAAGGGTCCTAGTCTCTTGGGACTTGCGACAATATTTTACACTCTCAGATTTGAGACTCCCCTTTTCGTCGCCTCCTACGACTCGCAGGGTCACGGTGGAGGTATTCTACCCCGCCTCCATACGGGGGGTTTGACTCCTTGGTCAAAGTCAAAGTCACATTGCGACTGACGGTCGGTCAGTCTGTCTGTCAGAGTCAGAGTCAGAGTCAGAGTCACGTTACCACTGACGGTCAGTCAGTCTGTCTGTCTTGGTGTCGAGCCCCAGCTGGGGCTCATGACCAGATATTTCTTTTGTATGAAAGTTACTGTCCTGTCCATGTGTAGCGCCCTCTCTGACGAGAGGTCGGGTCTGTCATTTGTTAGTCAGTCTGTAGTAATTTGTCCATTGTCTGTATTTACACATATTTGCAATACATACTTATATAAATGTACAATATTTACACGGCCTCCGTCAGTCCAGGCTAGGTACAGCAGATTATGCCCTTTTATATATATATAAATAAATATCCTAATAGTAGTCTGTTTATCCTCGTTATATAGCCTTGAGGCAGACCGACAGAAAACACCTCCTACTCTATTGTTGCGAAGGCGTTTTTACAGCACCGCAGCATAGCAAACGGAAGTTATTCGATTGTTGCCTGAATATTCGTTGGCAAGGGAATCTGTTTACCGAGCCGTTGCTTAGCAATGGTTATACACGTCATAGTATATAATTAGTGAGACTTAAAATTAAAAGAGAAGGGTTTAATTTAACATAACTCTGACTATTAAGTCTCCTTGTTCATGCAGCAGAACAATATAAGGACAGTTAAAAATAATTGATTAGTTATGGATCTCGGAATTTTGTTACTGTTACCACTTCCTCTCTCTCTTAGATTGGAACATTCTCCTCTGCACCTTGGTCTCAAACACGCTCGGTCTATATTCTTCTCTTTGGGTGGAAGGGTGGGGGGGATCCACACAAAGCTACAGGTAAAAATATGCTTTTGTGTATTTTAATCCTTAGGTTTTTAGATAGGTAACAGAAGAAAATAATTATTCTTAAATGGTACACAAGGATACAAAATTCTGAAATGAATGGTAGCAAGCATTCCCTGGATTTATAAACAAAAGGAACAAAAGGCGTTACGTTGCACGGTAAAGTCCTTGTCGTTTACAGTTTTTATTTAAAAACTGAAACATACAATAACATTCATGTCAGCAGGACACAGTCCACATCTGTGATAATTACTTTAGAAAACTATCACCCTCCTCATCCCGCCAATTCAAACAGTTGTTTCAATGACGTCAACGCAATTTTGCAGGTGTAACTGGTGAACCCTTCAATCCCTATCAATGCCGTGATATGACATGAGAGAGCCATATCTCTCTTATTGTACAGATAGTAACAAAACTAACAAACTCCGTGGTCTGTAGCCCGCAAGAGAACTATACCGACCGAGCGACCGCCGCTTGTCGGCCAAGTTAGTGCCAACTTTAGCGGATAGAGGGTGTCACGCGGTCAGAGCAACGAATTTCGGTTTTCTAGACCGGATGAGAGCGCATAAGCCTACTTTTTCAATATAAGGAAATCGGGCTATAATTGGGATTTATATTCAGTCATGCCCATGCTAACAGGCAGTCATACGCCTCGCGATTAATGTTCTATTCTACAGCAATCCTACTAGCGACATTTAGTGCTTTCAGTCTAGAAATAAAGGCGACGGTGCTCATACGTTGGTTGGTTGGTTTCCAAAGGCTGCATTTGGGATCATTTAACCCATTTTGCTTCTTGCTTCCCAATAGAGCACTCAAGTTCTTTTGCACTTTTCTTTTGGGAAGCTTTGCCACGTTTGGTGCTCATTTTGCACTACCCAGGGGACACGTATGGCTCAAAGAATGTCACGGACGCGAGCAACTTTCCCCCCCCCCCGTATTCATACGTTTCGACTTGTATTGGACAATATGTGAAATATATCTCACGTGCCCACTTACGATGTTTCGCCTTCCCCCTTTGGGAATAAACGTACCGTCCGATCAGAACGGTTCCCATAGAAGATAA